ATATGTGATAAATGATGCAATAGTAATTTATCTGTATCTTAGTCTAAAAAAGTATCAGTATTCCAAAAAAAGCATGATCCTGTCCTGTAAAAAATTTTATTCGTAATTTCTGTAAATCTCAGAGAATATGATACATTTACGGAAAATAACTAAAAATCTAAGCAACTTGGATATTGCTTGCAAAGATAAATTTACAAATAATTTCATACAATTCATATACTTTGGATTAATGTCAATTAGATGGTTTTAACGCTTCTATCGGTTCTTTTTTGCGAAAAAATCCAATCGATCTGCATCAATAATAAAAAAATTTCAAAGACGAACCATTCAGGTCACGTGCGCAACTTAATATTCCGACTAATAACAAATCACGTCCAATTTATCAGAATATAAAAATATGCTGCCTAAAAGTAATTTCTTATAAAGAATGGTTTATTTAATTATTGTTACAAACATATGAACATACGTGTTTATTGTTTGGATATTTAAGAACTAAAACAATGTTCGTTTTTTTCACCATTGCTTCAAGATCACTAATTCATTATACTGTATATCCGTCGCGTTGCAGTCCAAGTTTACTCATCAAAATATCATAAACACAATTATAGGAATAATAGAATACATCGTTATTTATATGCCGTATGTTTATTAAAGCAATTTCTCTTCTACGGACATAGGTCAATTGTTGATTTTACTTTATTATCCAGTATAATTTTCGGCTGATGATACAAAAAAGCTCACAAAGTTCTAATATATATTTCTCTTAATTTTGTTAATTTTTAGCGATTTCTAAAATAAGAAATTACAAAAATTTGTACATAATAAATAATATAAATAAATTATATATTAGTTTATGAACATAAATAAATTTAAAGTAACAAAAGGATTTCTAAATAATGTTATTGTCGCTGATGAGGTAAAGTACTATAGCTTAGTGTGATTCTTCATTAAAATTTAAGTCGTGCAATGTGAATATTTATTTTAATCACAATGTACATTTTTTATAGCTTTACCGATGATATACAATAAATAAATGTTGTTTATTACATATAAATCATTACAAATATATTAATGTAATTAAATTTCATACAATAAAACAACATCGGATTTATGAAATACCCCAATTTGTCCGTCATGTCAAATTAAATATTTGACAGTATTTTAGTCACCAAATTTCTATTTAAGTCCCAAATTTATTAGACCCCAAATCTTGCGTCTAACCAATTTTCCCACTATCTGCTATCTAACCAATTTTTTCAGTGTTAAAAGCGCGTCATTATTTGACATTTTTTAGGACAAAAGCTTAATTAGTATTAACTCCCGAGGGCGCAGCAGCAGGGTTTTGCTTGGAGTCATGGTAATAATATATTAATAGGATTTATGACGGAGATAGGTGGTATTTCAATGAAAAAGTTAATAAATGAGTTTAAAATTTCGTTATATGAAGCAAAAATAATTAAGTATCGTATTTTTTAGAAGACGTTGCGATATTTTTTATCCTACAATCGTCGAAAAAATCAACTCTGATTGTACAATGAAATAGGTTAGATCACTCCAACAATTTTTCATTTAATCATAAACGCCCTCCTCTGATTTTCAAAAAAAACCCCGAAAAATTTTACGCCGGAATTATAAAATTTGGCAAATAATACAAATCACATGACATGAATATGCTACGCCGAAATTATGATAATTCTGGTAATGTTTTTTGTCCTCCAGATCGTTATGTTAGACGAAGAATTGGAACAATTCTGGCTGGAATTAAAATTAAAGCTGCGTAATGATTAATTCCGGCCAAATTTAATGCCGAATTCCTTCCGGCTGGGTTTTTTTTGGACCGATCGTAGCCACAATAACAAATTAGTATATATTAAATATATAATGTTCTAAACAAACAAAGACAAATCGAGGACTAATTTAGAAACGCTTCTAAAGCATGTTCATTTAGTGTAACGTTAATGAAATATCTATTTATGATAGATAACCTTTAAATGTGCTGTATCACCTTCAATCAGATATGACTTGAATGATAAACTTACAAAATTTACCTTTTCATTATCATTTACAGTAGTTTGAAATCATAATATTAGCCAAATTCGTAATCACGGTAGAAATAAGCGCGAGATAGTGCAGTAGCACGATATTCAGCCCTCACTCTTCGGTTTAGAAATTCTACTAATAATCATTATGGATCAGCTGAGCAATTGTATTGATTATGGAATATTGTCATCCGATTAGAAAGAAACAAAGAAATTTAAATTCTATTAGCAATAACTACAAATAAAAATTTGGTATATTTATATATTTAAAGTTTTTTTTATTTATGTATATAATACATACTGTTTTATTGCAATTATTTCGAAAATTTTCTTCAACTTTTTAAAAGATTGCGTGCATTTAGTTTATTAAATTTATTTTATACATCAAAGAATGTAATAAGAAATTTATCGCAAGCTATCAAAATAACAGATAAATTATCGAAAATTTATTTTCTTCTTTTTTGTTTATTCATGATATTAAATGGAATTACGAGGATCACAGTTCAAACTTTATAGCAAAAAATAACTTTCGTTCTCCATATGAATGTGGAACCTTCATTTGAGTGACATGTGTTCCAATCATTCTAATTTAAGTTAATATAATAAGGAAAGGTTGTACAGTTTATTTTGTAGATCATTTAAATATTTGCTGCGGTTAAAATAAGCATCATCAGCGTTACGGTTTCTTTTCCCTTGTATTATTTTATTTTATCTTATATAAATTCACATATTTTAATGAAATTGAAACCCGGTCTAAGTAAGAAAAAAACTGAATAATCTTTTGTTTTTTTAATTTTTTTAATAATTTCTGCCATTAAACCAGTCAAACAAAAAATTTAGTGTTAAGGCCAGGCTAATTGGATTTACTGTTTATAGTTTTTATTAAAGAAAGAGAGGGGGAGGGGGGACCTAAATTATTTTTTACTATTAAAGTTTTGAAAATATGAGGGTGAGGGAAGGAGTAAGTAATAAAAAAATTAAATTTCTTGAAACCAAAATTTTTGAGGGGAGAGAGGGGAGGATTTAAAAAATTGAAAATTTTTGTTTTTTTTGGTATCTATCTAAAATTTAAAATTTTTTGAGGGAATTTTGTTAAACAAAAAATCAAATTGATCCGGCCTAAGCGAGACAAAGTGTTTTGTTATTATCACATGAATAAAACAAAATCAACGAGAAACAAAACAAATAAATGGATGTTACTTTTATATGAATATATTATAAATTTCATTTCACTAAATAAATTAATTGATTCCAATTCAAAACTCATAAGTCTTCGTCAGCTCTAACATATTAGGCGTAATAAGAAATCAGTGAGCTAGTATCGAACTCCGTGAACATTGTTTTCAAAATAATTTGCCATATTATGTTACTTCTTAAAATTAATAAAATTAATAACAAAGCTACTTTCGCAACGTCCTCCAACCTTTATTTAATTTATGTATTATAATATAAATCAAACAAAAGCTCTATTTGAGTAGAACCTAATGATTAAAATTGGATTTAATAGACTTGTTATAATAATAATTTATTGACTATTCTATTTGTACACTAGTGTGCGAACACGGATCACGTGCTTATAACACTTTTCGGTGATCTGCATAACAATTTCCTTTTTGGAAATATGTTGAAGAAGAATCAAATTGTACATTAATGTACAGTGAGGGTGTACGATATTAACGTACAAACTGGCCGGAATTAACGTTAACGCTATCACGTGCAAGTGTATAACTCCTAAACTCGGGCCAGTTTGTACGTTAAAATTGTACATCCCCAAAGGACGCCCGTCTTTCTGGGCTGTTTAACGTTGCTCTGATTTCCATAAATGGTAATTCAAGAATTTTGGCTGGAATTATAAAATTTGGCCGAAATTATAGAGCGCGACATATAAATATATAATATGTGATAAATCTTACTGAAAAATTCTAAAAATGGAAAACTAGAGGGTGTGAAATGGGTGACATATTTTAAGATTATTTCATAGCAATATCATCTTGATAATTTCACGTAAGTTACAAAATATTATTTTTCGTAAAATGGGTAGTATATTAAAAAATGGAGGAGTTAAGAAATCACACAAAGTTTCCACTCTCAAATTTTTGAATAACAAAATTTACCTAACTTTAAAATCAGCAATGATAAATTTTGTTATTACTTAAATTTCTTTTTAAAATGCGATATAAACAAAAAAAAATAATAAAATCATACCAAGTATTACCCAAAGCCATAATCTCTTATAACTTCTTACACGTTAAAACTTTTAGAAACCAAAAAATTAGTTACTAATTATATTTAATATGCAAATGACGCCTATACCATAGCCCCATTAGAATCTTAAAAATTCATTAGATTTCGCATTGTTTGTTTGTATTTATGGAACCAATTTTTATTTCAAAGTATATTTTATTGGTCAGCATACGACATCAATTAGTTAACAGTAATAATTGCATAACATTCGAATTTTGTTACAAATATGCAACAAAGAAGAGTATCACCGTACCCTAGACCCTAGTTATTCAGGAAAATAATTAATTTCTAATTCGTTATCATGAAGTATTTCACCGACATAGGTCATTGAAACAACTCTTCCATTCTCATTTAATCTGTCTGCTTTTCCGCTGATTCGAATTTTCAGTTGCTTTAAATGATACGTGAATAAAATGGGACCTTTTATCGATTAAGGAGTGCTATACACGATACTCTCAAGGAGGGGGAGTACAATTTGGTCGATCATGATGATATAACAATTATGGTTACACCTGCACAAGCAAAACAATAACGTATTAAAGTATTATTACTTTTAATTGTCTTAAGAGCAAATTGTATTATTGTAATTATTTGATGCGAAATCTCATCGCAGCAGCTGCAAATTGTACAACATTTAGATTGATTGAATCCAAGTAAGACCTATTTATGTATTGTATAATATGTAAGAATTTTCTTTGTATGCTTCTTTGCCAATTGACAATCTATTTATTGTATCCTAAAAAAATAATATTTTTCGAAGTCACAAGATAATTTGAGTTAGAATGAGTCATCGTTTTTTTTATTAAAAAAAAAAAATAATAATAATAAATGACATACGAATTCAATAATAAAGCATAAAATTATGTTTGTTTCATAGTAGCATATAGAATTTACTTTGAAACGTAGTGCAATTTAATAAAGGGGTTACGTTTCAAAAATATTGTAGCATAACATTTGTATAATACCTATTTATAATATACATATAACAGATAAAGAATAAGAAAATGAATGACATAATTTAAAAGTAATAATTGTGTTTACAATTTAGGCTGCACAATAATGGCATCGTTACTATTTGAACTCTTATTAATTTGTTTTGGCGTCAAGCGATTAAGGAAAAATCCTTTCAAATGAAATTCCAAATTATCTCTTTGAAATTTTGAAAAAGTCAAATAGTCTTGTTGTGGTTCTTCACCTTGTTTATGTTCGATGCCATAAATCTTTTTGTTTAAAAATTGAACAATCAATGAATGTGAAATTAATCTACATGTTATTTGATAAAAACTATTATCATCAATATTGTAATAAAATGTATGGTCAGATAAAGGGTCGACATTCTTGTTTGATAATTCACAAGTAATGTGATAGATTTGAGAATCTCCTGGAGGATTGTAAAAAAAGGCCGTTCTATCATTTGAATGGCTTAAAGAGGGATTTGCTAATTGGGTTAATTGATCAATATCAGTGCATCCTTTGACAAAAATAACGTCACTCATTTTTGAGGTAAATAAATTAAAGGATTTGAATTATTTTTTTTTTTTCAAAAAAAAGGTTTCTTAAAGGATTTGAATTTTTTTTCAAAAAAGAGTAAGCATGCTTTATTTATATCTTAATTATTATTTATGGTTCTTTGTACAATTACCAATTATAGTTAGCACTATAATCTATTAAATGAATACATTTGTGGTATATTTAAGAGATACGGCGTTTTTTAACACAAATGTAAATATAAAATATTTTTACTATAAATGTTTTAAAGCAATTTTATTTGTATTCCAAATTTAACTTTTATCAAAGTAATAAATTTAGGACGGCTGTTACCTTTTGTTTTTCCCCTAATAAGTCGACGTCATGTGCTGACGATCTACAATCACAATGAATTCTGAAATATTTACATAAAAAACATTATTAATAGAACTACTATTAAAAATTATTTTTTTCAAAAAAAAGTGTTTATATTAAGCATAATTCTATTCTTACAAGTGCATAAAATGTATTGCTATGAAAATAAACTAAATATTTAATATCTCTCTTTAATTAGCAATTGGGATTTGCGAGAATTACTATATGTCCAGGTTGATGGTAAAGTGTACATTTTCTGACTCTTTATCCACTAACTAGAATCTAGAAGAACCTCTTCTGGTTGATCTAGTTTGTCATTTAACTTTCATTTATCCAACGAATGGTGCCATAAATTATAAATTTAAATAAACTGCTTAAAGTAATTGTGTGTCATGAATTATTACAGTGTACGAATAACAGCCGCTTAAATTTAATAGATTCACTAATTAATTGGTGATTACAATATGTTAACAGATTAATATTTAGTGTATAACTAAAGAAATTACATTTTACGCCTCTATGTTTGGTTGTTGACGGCGGAGTTCATCACTCACCGAAGGGAAAAATATTATATCTACGCCTCCTAAATCAAATTTTTAAATCCTCATATTCCAGAATAATGAGTTTTTTTTATAGTAAAATTTTTAATTATTTTAATTAGTAATTAATATCAAACTTAAATGCATTATTTTATGTATTATGAAACGTATAATTAGTATATGTCATTGTTAATTATTAACTTACGAAAGTCCAATTTCGTCGAAATGCTTGATTAAATGATTAATAATCCAGAGTTTAATAATATGTTCAATGAATTTCGGATTTTGGTCACATTCGGTATATCAGTAGTGAACTCTCAAAAAATTGTACGAAGTTTCACTATGCCAATTAAACTAAAAAAATCTCTAATTCACTATGGTTTTAATTTTTCTTAAGATAAATTATCGTTATTTTCGTTTTATTTTTTTGTTGCATAATCATGCGATCACGTGATATACTTTATTTCACGTGCTCGTGCATAATGCCGTAAATGCCGTAATGCGGCCCCGTGCGGAATTTTTTCGGGTGTTCACGTGTCACATGACCAATCAATATGTACGATGACATAATCATATGTCATAATTATATAATTAATTTAATATAAATACTGTAATTTGATTGATTTGAGACCAAAAATAAAATGACATGATCGGTGATACAATTTTTTCTTGACACGAAAATTACTTATAAACACTTTGCATTTTTCATGACCAAAGCATTAAAATCCTCTATACAGGAAAAAAAAAATGCGTTTATCATGAAATTATCCTGAAAATTTCCACATTACAATAACATTTTACACTTGAAAAGTTGTTGAAAATTTTATAAAAAACTTTTTAGTATCGATATTAATAATGGTAATATTAGTGTGATGAAGCAGGTTTCCACATGAGCGATCACACTTTTTTACCTTTTCTTAAAATATTTATAAAGCTATAAAGAAATTTTATTTGCAATAAATATTTTTCGTTTTTTATAATATGAATTCTAATACTTTAGTTAACTGAAGTAAAAGTTATTAACAAGTGCGTGAACACCAATTTGCTATTAATTTTTATTAATATAGTTTAAATATACGTAATATACAGTATGTGAAAATAGATATGTTTAAAATTGAAAAGATGTAATACAGTAATTTCTTTTAAAAGTGTAATTTTATGACTTTGAAAAATGAAATGGGTCTAGGGAGCTTAAGCAAAATTGTTCAGTAGAAATAAACAATCCTTTGAAAGTCATTCAGCAGGTGAAGATATAATTTTTGTTAAGCTAGCTTGGATTCTTTTGGAATAATTATTTTTTACAATAATAATTTTTTTAGTTTATTTAATTTATTTTATACATATTTCAATTGTTTCAGGCTGAGTTTCCATTCAAAAATTCTATCTAAGAAAACGCCATTATTTACGATCGGCAAATACGCAGCAGGAGTACTGTCTTACCCTTGAACAAATAGAATAATTAATTTTTTTAATTTTTAATGCAGGGGTCGGAAAATGTAACATTATTTTATATCAGATTGCTCATCTCTTATTAGCACAAAGTTCAAGTAAAAAGAGAAGCCTCTTCCAATACGTGTTCAGAAAATATACAGGCGGAACTCTGTAGTTAATAAACTAATATATAAAAAGAATAACGCACAAAAATTTAGATTATCACTTCGGATATAGATACGGATAAAGACTAATTTTAGTAATTACCAAATGGAAATTATGTTTACAAAGTTTACAAAGATAAAACATTATATAATATAATGTTTCACTGTAAAGATGAAAGGCAAAGTCACACTAAATAAATATTAGCTATTCGGAGTTAACCTTTTCACGAAAAATATTATACCTACTGTTCTATAAAGTCGAACCATATATATAACCGGGAAATGATAATATATTGTGCTTTTTGATATATAATAAATCGGATCAGAATTTTATCTCATTTTGGGTATGGGAGTAATTCGTTAAATATTTTGCCGTATTGTTATACCGTTAATCGAACATTCATTGTAAGGGAAGCGGTAGCACAAAAAGCTATTGATAAACTTTATTAATTTCTCATTGTAATCATGGAACTTTTTTTTTTTATTCAAATAATAGATATTTTTTATATTCCTTACTGTTAATATTTATAATCACGATTAAAGATGTTGTATCATATTTATTTTATTAATAATTTTTTTCTATATCAGATATTGTAATTTTTTAGTCACCTTCTTTTGGGGGAACAAATGTAGCACAAAAAGTAGGAGATGCTTATTAACCTTATTTGGAGAATAATGTCCTACCAATCATTTAATTCGTTATTTTATTATTATTCCGAACATAGTGAACATAGTAAATTTACTATGTGTCGACGGGTTCATTAATAAATTTACAAGACGAGAAAAAATTATTAGTAATTTTTGTGTTTTAAATATTTAACCTCAATTAGCCATAGAAGGCGTAATAGAATATACAATTATGTACTCTAAAATTAAGAAATCACATATACAGTATGATCGTTTCTTTTATTTCGAAGGGCTGAAGAAATCATATGTCGAACAGAAAACAATGCTCATCATGGACTTCAATTTATCTAAATTAATGATTAATTGTACGATAATTAGTTAGTTTATTTTCTCTTTTGTCTAAACCAGCTAACATTCCCACGGTCACAAAAATTTTAAATCCGTTAACATAATATACAATTATAACGAATTTTGACTTCGGAAAAATTCGGGAAAAATAATGAAATAACAAATATGAAATATATTTTTTATATATTTTCATCTGACTCCAAAAAATTATATTTTATCTTGGCTCAAGAAGTAAATTAAGCCTGAATTAAGAACTTTAAGAATAATTATATTCGGTAAAAATAACGAAATAACAAATATGAAATGTATTTTTTACATATTTTCTGTTTTTTTTTTTAATCAGACTCAAAAAATTATATTTATCATTTATCTTGTTTCAAGAAGTAAATTAAGCCCAAATTAGAATAAAATCTTTGTTACAATGAGTTTTTATACTCATTATAATGTTATCTGTTATATTGTATAATCGGTATAACGGAATTCTTTATATGTCGAAGATCCACTATAAATATTTCGTTTCCGATTATTTTCATAATACTGTATATATTTTCAGTAAATATATTATCTGTTATAGATTGCGGTATATATAATATTAATATAAATCCAATTGTAAAATTTTAAACAAAAATTATATAATTAATTTATATGTTTACTTTCTATTTATATTATTCAAACAATATAATTTATTGTAGTCTATCTAGGGGTATATTTATTTCCATAAAATAAAAATCATGTATCAAGTATCGAATATATTTAATTATTTTTATTTTTTATTCTTTTTCTATAAATAATATAGTTTACAACGAAAAATATCGAATATCGTCTAATATTACCATTTATGGTTTATTTTAAACAATATTGTCCGAAACAAAGGTGACTCATTGCTGAGTACTTCGGTGGTTCAAATTGGTATATTTTTTAACTCATATCTCCGGTTCAAGAAGGTTTATAGAAAAAAAAAGCGTAATCCAGAACGTTGATTTTTAAATTAGATTCATTATTATTTGATGCATAATCAAAGAAGCTGCAGTGAATTGCACTATATTGGGTTGATTGGTAAGAAATTTATTTATGTATGTAATAACTTGACATTGCATAGTTCTTTGCCTAATCGTCTAATCGTTGTATCCTAAAAAAATAAATTGACGATACGTTTTTAACATCCGATAAGTATTCCACTGTCCCTACTGAATTTAATATATTACTGATAAACGAAGAATAATAATAGACGGATGTGCTAAATTCCATACCCATTCATAAAAGCCTTTATTTGTTACATAATAACAGAATAATAGAAAATAGAAGATACATTTAAGAAGAGGGTCGTTCATACATGTTGTGTTCATACATGTTGCTGTCGCTATACTTGTAAGTTATAACTTTAACAAATAAAAGATAATTAAATAATAATTCATATTAAGACTTATAGCTTAGGTTGAAAATCAGCCAAAACATTAACGTTAGGCTTCTTCTTGTTAATTTGTTTTGACGTTGATAAATATTCCCTCAAATGAAATTCCAAATTATTACGTTGAACATTGGAAAAAGTCAACCACTCTTGTTGTTCTTCACCTTTTTTAAGTTCAATACCGTAAATCTTTTTATTCAAAAATTGAACAATCAGTGAATTTGGAATCAAGATACAAGCTATTTGATAAATAATTTTATCATCCAGCTTGTAATAGAATGTATAATCAGAAAGCGGATCAATATCTTTAATTTGTTCGCTTGGTTCGCAAGTGACGTGGTAGATTTGATGGTCGCCTGGTGGGTTATAAAAGAATGACATTCTAAGTTCATCATTTGAACGAGTTGACAAATGATTTAGCCGTTCAATACTAGTACAGCCTTTAGCATAGATAACTTCTTGATCGTGTGCTGGATTCATGTTTTAGTATAGTTGAAGGAGAACGTATCGGCTTAATATATATACAGTATATATATATATATATATATTTTGTTATTAACTAATAGTAGTTAGCTTTGTATAACGCATGATTGAATACGCACTACAATCGTAATTCATGCCCGAAAATATCAAACAAGGGAACAATCATAAGATTTTAATGACATAAAAATAATTTTCTATTAATACAGTATAAAAAAAAATTAGACACCGCGTGATTTCATGCATTAAGTATCACGTGACGTTAAATTATTATCTATGTTGCATTTTATATGCAAAATATTATTTATTTATTTATTTATTTATTTTTATTTAATCTACCCTGAAACCGGCTAAATACGGCGTAATAATAATTTGAGTGCTTATTTATGGAAAAAATTATTAATATTGACCAAAACTAACCAGCGTTATTAAATTTCAAATTTCGATTCAGAAGTAGCGATACGCCGACTTGTAGATAAAAAAACTATTGTCCGAAAGAGTATGTATGATCTTTGAAAAAAAATAGAATGATTGTTTGTTAAAAAGAAGTGAGGCTGAGATTATTGCATTATCGGATGATCTTTTTTTTACCATGCAGTATCTCTGAAAAGACATTGAATATAAATAAATAGTCATTTTCATATTTCATGTTTTATTGTCTATAAATATTCTTTGTAAATAAATAAATTTGGTGTTTGTCGTATGATTTTAAGAATATTTTAGTAGTATCGCAAAAAATAAAATAAAATAAAATAAAAAATAAATTAATTATATCACAAAACATCGCTTTGATGGCAAACCTTCAAGCCATATTATCGATCTACCTAAGGGTTATTATATTATAGTAGGTTGTCTGTAATTTACATATATGACTTATGTAACTTCCAAAAACACGTTACGTATTTATATAATTTTTTAAGTTTTTGTAATTTTATAGTTATAAATTTACCATATGACAATAACGGGGGAAGCAGCTTTACTACGATTTGCTATATCGATTCTTTGCAAAAGAATTTTTGTTATTTTCCATCGACTCAGAAAAAAAATAAAGAATCCGTTGAAAGAGATTTTACAGTAATTGATTGACTAATTAAAAAACAGAAGTATCTTTCCCTATAAAAAATTTTTTCAGAATGTCTGGGTTTCTTTGATCATTTATCGGAGTTTTTTTTTATAGAGCTTAGTAGCGAAAAAAAAAATATGAATTTACTAATAATATTTGAGATTTCTCTAAGTTCTTAGGAAATATTCTGAGAATTTGACCGTTAACGAATCTCAGCTTCACTTCACTTCAATTATGATTTTCTATTGTGAGAGTAACATTTTCTTATCGTTCAGTTATTTTGTTTGGATCTGATTTTTTATTTCTTTGAAATGAAATTCATATTTTTTGTTACTTAGGAGGTGTAACAAGAGAAATTAGTTAATTAATGATTAACTAAAAGAAAGATTAAAAAGGAGCTAGAATCTATAAGAGATGTTTAAGCAAAAGAGACGTGCATGATCATACTCAATATGTAAAGAATCTCTCTTTATGTAGATGAATGTTCATAATTAAAATTATTACTGCACTCCGAGTAGAGTAAAATAACTGATTCGTTGAAGATGTTGAATGCATTATGAGAATTATACTAGTTTTACGAAATTTAAATCGTGACATTTTTACGTTATTTTCGATCATCAAAAATTCATAACGCTCTCGTGACTGAATAGTTATTATGACATTGTCATTTTATTATTTGACCCGAGTTATTTGAGATTAATGCTAGTCAGCACTATAATTTCTTTAAATAAAAATTTCGAAATCAAAAATGATTTATATGAATTATCAATATGATTATAAAGATAATCGAAAACAATGATATTTATCCCCATATTGTCGACTTGACGTAAAATAAGACAAATGAACTTACTTTAAATGTTTAAATTATGATAAATTAAAATACTCTATGACTATATCGAATAAGTAAATTATCATTCAAAGTATGATTTTCCTTTTCTGTAAAATACATTCTATTGTTATCTAATCAAACACCTGTCAAAATATTTCAGCAATTGTTGTAGAAGTAGAATCGATAGCATGAAGTAATGAATTTGAAACGCTGAATGTATTAAACTAAAACAGTAATGAATTCCCAAATCAGAACCTTTAAATGGACAATCCCTTTTGGAATATGTGTGATGCAGAAATTAAAATTTAATATATATATAAAAGGTAATAAATATAATGCCGACACATTGGTGTAAAATATTTAGACAATGGGTATAAACTAAATTTCTAGATTCTCGTAACCCTCTCAACTCTCGCATTAATTTTTCAAAAAATGATTTTTTTATGATAAAAGTTTTAAAAAAATTTTTATTTTATATGATAAAAAAAATTATCTATAAAAATTTTCATGTATCCGCCCTCCCACTCATCATTTTTATATACGAGAATCTGAATATTTATTTTATTTGCCCGTCAATTGAAATTTGAAAGAAATAAGTGCGACCTTACTTATATGATCATGATTAACACATTGACATTAATTTATATTCAGCATTTCTACATACAGTCAGCCCTTTCTATAGCGAATTTTAATATAACGAATTTCACGATATAACGAATCTTTAGTGTGGTACGTAATAAAATGCAGTATAACGTTGAACGAAGAAAAACTTATAATTCACAGATGTAAGTAACCCCTTTTATAACGAATTTCTTTTAAAACGAATTTTTTTTTTAATAAAACAAAGATTTTTGCAAGATAAATTTTAATATAAGGGCAGTTTGATCCCGGTTTTATGGAATTTTTCTCAATTAAGCAATTTTACCACTTTTAAAACATTTTATCAAAAGATGGGTGATTTATGTTTCGAAGTTTCCTTTGCCTTCATGAGCAGGACGTTCTACAAATGGTTTGATTTTCCTATATTTCACTGCATTATACCAAATTTTTCCGTTATACCGAACACGCATTAACGAATTTTCTCATAACGAAGGCCTGATCGGCCCGGACGCGAACTTCGTTATATCGACTGTACATTAAAATCAGCAGACTTTGGACTCCCGATGACAGCAAGAATTAGATATAACATTTGGTGTAATATCTTTCTTATATGGATCCTAAAATGTTTAATCAACTTCGGTTTTGAGACAAGCACGTTTCTATTATTACGTTAGACATTCTTAGTGGTGTAAGAAAACGCAGATGCTAAATTTATTCAATTTAATTGTAAAAACATTCCTCGCATTTTTTTTAAAAATAAATAGTTTTTGCATATTATAATTATCAATTTTTTTTTTACTATGGGCTGGAATCAATTCTACCAAAATCGAATTAATTGAAAATTGAATTGAATCGATTTGATGATTTTGATCGAATCCAAGTTTCAGAAACGTTGATCCATTTTATAAATCGAACACACCAAACACAAAAAAAAAACGAATGTTAGTGACGAATATCACATGGCAATGTCCGATTGTCCGCACGCGTCACGTTAATTTATAAAAATATATATATATATGTATATATACACGGTAAATATAGAATAACAATTTTTTAAATCGTGAAATTAATCCATAAATTACTAATTTTCACTCACTCAATTTCTAAAAAAAAATACTTATCATCTTTGTTTCACAGGGTATCTGCAAATCAAGTAAGCGACAAAAGTATTGATCTTGATATTGTACGACCGGTTTTCTTGAATAAAAATATCAAGATGTTATACCCCTGAACTATCAAGATCAAATAACTGAAATAATTTTTTTTCTTCAATTCTCATTCCGGAACGTTAAACAAACGCGTTTACATATAATTAAATTTTTTTTTTTTACGTTTAAATTAAAACCGCACAAACAAAAAGGCAAAAATATATTTTTTTTAGATTGGTATGATTTTTTTCATTTCGTCCATTCCACTCAGTCTTTAACTTTCTTTTCGTTCTTTAGGTTTTTGGTTAGGTACTTTAACAGTGCAGGTAGATGTTTTAGGTTTTGTTTTTCATTTTCATTTTATCTATTTCATTTTGTCACTAACTCTTTTTTATTCCTAGGTTTCGCCCCATAAAAGATTTTATCCGTTATTTCTGTAAAAACTCCGTAAAAATGAGCCTTTCACGGATCCATTCACGGAAAATGAAAATAATTCGATAAATTCCGTGATATAAGGTTATTAATTTCGAAAATATGAGCCTTTACGGAAAAAAGGTGGAATATAAAAAATGGATCGATCTTTTTTGCGGGGTCGGTTGAACTCCTTAAGACAGCAAGTAAATATTTTAATATTTCTATTGTTTTATTACCTCACATTTTGTTTCCATGTCTCTAACGCTTTCAGTTATTCTTCATGGCAACAGTTACGGTCAATTACTAAAACATTGACCACGATTTTTTTAAATTCTAAAAAAAAAAAATTCTATTTTTAAACTTTAAACGACTTCTTGAAGGTATAAATACGCTTCCGGCATGACTTTCAATTTGTTTTTTTTTGTTAGGAGAAATTTTAACTAATGATACATTTCTTTTTCTTTTTTTAGGTGGCTCTTTAACTCTTTGGATTCTTTATTTGTTTATTTTTTATATCCAGATGTGAGGATTTTAGTGTGATTTTATATAAATGTTTTTTGTTTCTTTTAACATTTATTACTTTTCTTTTGTAGTTCTTAAACGAGGATATTGGTAAGTTTTTTATTTTTTTTTATTTTGATAATTAATATCCTAAACAGAAACTGCACGAATGTGAAATCAAAAATTAAAATCGTTCAATCAATAACGTACAGGGCCATTTGGTCATGTGATGTATAGTGATTTTGTCGGATTTATGCTCATATAACAAAATATCCAAAAGATATTACAAAATTAATTGATACCGCAAGCTCTGGTGCTTCTGTATTTAGTAGATTTTATTCCCTTTAGCTGGTTATTGGTTTATGCGAAAACCACAAGAATTTCAAAGAGAATGGAGTAATGTCATGAGGTATTATGGAATCTGAATAAAAGTTTTTTGATTTTTTTCCGATATCAATAAATTGCTAATTTTTTTTTATTTAGATGTATGGGAGGTTTTATTGGTATCGCAAATGATTCAAATTTTTTTTACAAAATAAATCGTTTTTGAGAAATCAGCATTGCATTGAGATTTTTGGACGATGGAGGTATTTAATTTAAAATTAAAATTTTAATATAATTATTTAGTATTTTGACTTTATTTTTCTATCATGAGCACACTTTATAATACCATAACACCTTACTATATGTACAGTACATAGATATTTTTCGCTACGGCTAGTATAGCATTATTTCTTTCTAATAATTGACACTAATTCGAAAACGACGATAAAAATTTATACACAATTTACGTTTAACTTTCACATTTCTAATTCTGGATTCAGGTAATCAGATAATCAAGGAATCATATGCTATCGGAGAAGAAAAATTCCTTTATTTCCTATTTTCAACATTGTAGTTATTTCTATATACAGTTTAAATAGATTTCAACTTCATCCCTTAAAAATGCCATTACGATTGTTATAATAATAAAATATATTTGTCATCAAAGAATTCATAGTTAGTATATATATAGAATACATATGCTATTAAATTTCTATTATTGTTAAATTTAGTAGTAGTGACTGCTAAGATGATCGTTATATAGTAATTCTAACCAGTAATATATTCGGCAAAAAACATAATAGAAACTTGTGCTTTATATATTTAATCCTTTGTGTAAAATAAATAGTCTAATCTGTGATGACAAATACTGCATATAAATAAGTACGGTTTTGTAAATTAACCATTTTTATGGAACTAATAAATTTACAAATTACGTTTTTTGAATAGATTTATTTATAGAAAGGTAGTTACTCCAATGGGGGGGGGATTGGCACGGTTATATTGCATATGCTGCATATGATGTCACATATATTGAAAATTATATAAATTATCGGAAATTAGACTTTTGTTCTAAAAAGTATTTAGTGCTTTTTTCAAAATTGGTGTGCCAAGGACTTATGCGAAAATAAATTTAGTGCATTTTTCTTTAAAAAACTTACTCAATGAAATTAATTTCTGATTTATATTTAAATATATATTGGTGCAATAATGTCACGGAAGTTCGGAATAATTAAGGTATAATGGAGGTCAAGAATTATATATAGGACTATTCGGGACACGGAAAATCCTAAATTCTCTTGCTTATTTATAATTTATATAAACGTTTGGATTGTTAATATCAGGGCTTTTATTGATTGTTTAACGTTTGTTTTCGAAATTTCCCAGTCCGATAAATTAATGTTTGTCGATCAACAAATATAGAATATTCATATTCGTGTAAGAACATATTTATGTTCCATAAATAGTAAAATATTTACCAGCTTAAATTTATTTTATTAATAAAGAAAATTTTTAAAGCTTTTTATTTTAGTATTATTCTAAGAATAATTAATATTAATCGTCTTACATTTTCAAACTGTTATTGTATCCGAATAATACTTTTTAATTACACAAAATATATTATGTGCAGCTTTGATTGTTTTCTCCGTCGATCAACGTTAAAATATTATATTATTAGATATCTTTACTAAAAAATCCGATAATAATAATTTTTTTTATAAAAAAAAAAAATTAAAGTTTTTCATGAGGATCTTCGGTATATGTATGCATCAGCCGGAAGTCGCAGTTGAAACGACTGAAACCTGATTTTTTTTTTGAACTGTATATGGTAAAACATAGCCACAAATATTAAAATTACCGGAATGCTTGTAGAACATGAAACGTGTCATCAATTAAATCCCGATGGAGAGACTATTATCAAAACAAAATAAGAACCAATTAAATTATTGTTTGGTTTCATATAATAAATTTCAAAACAAAGCAACATATCTTAACCGTCCTCAAATATTTTATTAAAAAATTGATAACGATAAAATAAAAGGTAAAAAAAATAATGAAGTACTAAATTTGAATAATTAATATATGTATAAATACAATTTTATAGTTTAGGTTGAACAATAATCTTCTTATCGACTTCAGAACACGTTAAAACATTGACATCAGGTTCTTTATTAATTTGTTTTGACGCTAATTTGTTAAATAAAAATTCCTTTAAATGAAATTCCAAATTGTCTCGTTGAAAATTGGAAAAGTTTAAAAACTCTTGTTGTGGCTCTTCATTTTGTCTGAGTTCAATGCCATGAATTTTCTTGTTTAAAAATTGAACAATAAGTGAATGTGAAATTAGCCTACAAGTAATTTGGTAAAAAATTTTATCATCTAAGTTATAGTAAAATGTATGGTTGGAGAGTGGATCAACATTTTCTCTTGATTCACAAGTAATATGATAAATTTGATAATCTTCTGGTGGATTATAAAAGAAGGCCATTCTAAAGTTATCATTTGAATAGTTTGAAGCGGAACTAGTGAGTTGAGTTAATTGCTCAATATTAGTACAGGCTCGTACGCGAACGATACCGTCAGACATTTTTAATGAAAAAAAAGATGTTAGATGGATAAAAAGGCCACAAGAGTGATGTTATTTTGGTCTGTTGGATTTTTTTTTTTTTTTTTTTTTTTTAAAAAAAAAAATTGCAATAATTTTCAATTTTTAAATTTATTCCAAATTATTTTGATAAATTTCTAGAAATTTTCATTTACACCATATTTTTTTACTCCACTTTATTATATCAATGCTATACCTAATAAGACAAATTATTATTATCTTAAAAAAAAAATGCAAAAAAAAAAAAATAGATTCTATATTTATATTAACGAATAAGTATATTTTTTTTTTACAATAGCTTACTAAAAAAAGAAAATAGATCATTAATGCGGAAGGTTCCGAATTGTGAAACACTTTCAGTCCGGTCTTTTTATAATGACCATTTAAAGAAAATAAATGAATGAAATATAGATTGTCTATGTATTACTAAATTACGCCATTAATCAATTAATTACGATGTTTTCAAATTTATTTACACTTGAATTTTTTTTTCTCGCTTGCTGCAATTCTGGTACAAATTTATATGAATATGTGTAGTTCCTATATGGTAATAAGTGTTGCGATCAAGTAATTAGTTAGTTGAAAATGAACTATTTTTAAATGACACATTCAGAATCATCCATTTTTAATGAACGAATATAAGGAAATGAGTTTCTTTGTATATAACCAAAATCGGATATGTGCATGCGCGTAATTTTGAAGATCTTTGGCTCATAGTTTCATGTGAAATCAAAAAAAAATATATTCGGAATTACCTTTTATCATTAAATACTCGATCTTTCGTTTCAGACTTTTCCATTAAACTTTGTCACTATAAATACATTTGATTATTACAATGTTAATAGAAAGTAATATTATACATAGAAAAATAATTTCAATGAATATTTTGAAGGACAAGTTCAAAATACAACTTTTTAGCGCAATTAATACATTATATTATGTACTTATTATTATTATATTAGTTTAAATACAAATAACGAGCTTATATGCATTATTTAAATTTGTATGCATTTAACCATTTTATGCATGGTTGTACAGTAAAAATTGGCCTGATTATTAAATGATTTGAGCACACTGTATAGATGCTAAAAATAATAATTATAGTTTAAATGATAAAGGAACGAAAATTAAATTTGCCCCACTTAAGATGTGTATCGTAAAAAAATATACTGTATAGAGTCTAGTGAAATCACTTTGAAACAGGTTGCTTTTTTTTGATCTCTAAAACTGGTAAGATTTTATTTTGGTATTATCAGTAAATATTCTAACTGGAAAAGTTAACGAAATTACTTCGCTTGTAAATTAATTATTGACGAGTTTCTTTTTTATTCAGAGGCTTCAGTAAGACTCATTGTTATATGAGTTTTTGACAAAAGATGCGCTTAAAAATAATGAGATACAAGTGAGGCAGAAAAATACTAGAACAAGTAGAGCTTTCACTATCTTTTTAATAATAGAGAGATGTTTTATAAAGGAATATTCTTAATACGAACAACTGAATGATGGTAAAATATATCGACTTATATTCTTTTAAATAAATTGCATTAATATTAGTGTCGTTAATATTACATGTATCGGTAAGAACTTATATTTTGTAGATTGTTTTATCATAGCAATAGTAAAACTACACCGTTAAATATAAGCATATAACTATATATTTTTAAATTTTCGGAAAATAATTTTTGGTTTACCTAAAGAATCTTAACTGGAGAAATTGGCCCATGTAAGATAGATTATTTTTATATTTCACAATTGCTTTTAAATGCGATTTATTTATCTTTTTTTTAGTTTAGAGAATTTCGTAAACATAATAATGACAAAAGTCATTCGGTGGTCGACGGAAAAAGGTTTTTATTTATTTATTTATTTATTTTCGAAGAAATGAATACAAAATGACAAAATAACCTGAACCGCAGTAGTCATGTGACTGTATTATAAAATGTAAATTAACCTTTATTAGAAGCTCTTTCATTGATGAACATTAAATGATTCGTAGACTTTTATAATTTTTAAGAATGTTAAAAAGGATTAATAATATAAAAGTAAAATAAAAAGAAACGAATAGTATTTTGACGGAATTGGCCGCTTAATGATGGATTTGGTATAGAACACACGGTTATTACCATGTCATAACCCGGTCATGGCCGACGATCATTTTTTTATATCGTCACAATCATTATAAGATTTAGCGTTATACTATATAGTATATAGTAAAACTCATATAATTATCTAACTACTAAATGTCATACTAATAAAAAAAAGAAAAAAAGCCATATTTCATGTAACGCTAGATGACATTATTACCTTTGTGAGACTAGATCAATCCTTCTGTACTATGCCCCGGTAAAATCAAAGACTTCAGCTATTTCCTCGCAAAAAAAAAAAAAAAAAAATACATAATAAAAAGTATAACAAACATTTTTAAAAATATTGAAATTTTATTTATTTATTATTTTAATATTAAACTACAATTTTTTTTTAAAAAATAGAATGCGTGCATATGGGTCTTTGGCATTTTTATAAGATTTACATTAAGAAAAAAATTTTTTTTCCTTAAAAAATAGGAATAGAGTACTTTTTAGATTATTCATTTAGAAAAAACCATCGAGTTAAGAAAATGTCCTTTGTTTTTTTACTCGAAGCAACATGTATTTTTTTTTAGTGTATTAAAAGTTTGACAAAGCGAACGAAAAAATAAAAATATTATAATAATATAAATTTTGTTGGTATTTAAAATGTAGTTTATAGCTAACAATTGCATCACGATGGCATGAGATTTTTTGTGCACAAATTAGGTTCTATTTAGGGTAAATTAATTGCCCTTGCCATTTTGGCGCATGGCACATATCAGTTATGCCTTATATAGTAATATATTCAATTAATTACCAGAGTTGTATTTTCCCCTTTTTTACTTTTATTTTTTTTTTAAAAAAAATAATGTGGATAACCTTTACTATATAAATTTTATACTTAATGAATCACATTTATCATTAGAACAAATAAAAAAGACGCCGACAAACAATAGTAAAATTTAAAAAAAGAAAATTAGAATTTTACTACGCAAATGGTATATATAGTGAAAATCACAATCGGCGCTAATTAGCCACCACAATCTAACTTTACATTGCTAACTTGAAAATTTCCCATGTGAAGAAATGACGTTAAAAAGGTATGTGTTGACTAACATCAAATGTATATATAATTATTTGACTGCTTAAATAAATTAATAATTGTATTAATTTTATTAAACTATAATTTATATAGAGAACGTCCAATTTTTTTTAATTTGATTCGAGATTCGAGTCTTGGCAGGACGTAAAACGTAGAATTTTATATAAATAAATTTTAATAAATTTAAGTTCTATAAAACATTAATTTTCATTAAATTTGAGTAGATGTTAGAGAATATATGATTAAAATACCTCGTAAAATAAAACCACATACGACTGCCTGGCTTTGACCAGAATTTTGTATAAAAAGAATTTTTTTTTAGGTAAAAAGTAATACTGTATAAAATGCGATTTTATTTAGAATAAATGAAGTAATAAAAAAAAGAATCGCTGTTATATTATTCCTGCTTTTAATAAATACAATAAACTAAACATATAATTATTTGAAATTTAAAAAATTACCTCTGATGAAACTAAATAATCTCGGCAGTTTTATTCTATAGTTGCGGGTCGGTCCTGATATTTAACTATTATTTATAACTCCCAATAAGCAATGTTTTTAACATGTGAATAATACGTCAAGATGCAACATAGCTGAAAATATTGAAACCGGAATTGATTTTTAAAAAAAGCTTCATAAAAGAAATTTGATATTTTTTAATAATGATGCTCTTTTTAATAAAAATTTCTTATATGCAGTATGTAGAACACCTGTGACATGACATATTGTATGTCACACATGTTTGATAATATATTCGGCGATAACCTGCTTCCTATCACATTTAACAGGAATTGATTGATCGTCATGCAGGTGTAACATACCTCCATTATAAATCACCATTAAAAAAAAATTTAATGCCCTTTTTCAAAAATTTTAAATGGAGCAGCATAAAAATTTTTTTGGCTCAAATTTAACTTTTGGCTTAAATTATGAAACTTTTGGCCAAAGTTTTGACCGAACTTTTGACCCAACTCCACAATTAAAATCTAGTCCTATACTAATTAAATTTATTTCTTTTAATCAAAATGAGAAGCAGTGTCTTCATTGTGGAAACGAATATTTTGGGACACTAATATTTGAACAAAAATACTGTAAAAAATGTTTATTGGAATATATTGAAAATATTACGGACAACAATATATATTTGGATGTAGACATAAGAACCAACAATAATCAGTGCAACGAACATGTTAGGAATACGGATTTTTGTACAAGCAACATTCAAGAATGGTGTGAATATTGCTCTGAAATTTTGTACTTCAAACAAATAGTTTCACAATCTTCAGTTTCCAGTCAATCTCGTTTCTTTAATTTTCCTATTAATTTTGAACAAAAAAGAATTGAAAAAGAAAAATTCTGTGATAAATGTGGGCAATTACTTTATCAAGTTATTGGTTTAACAGGAATAGGGTATTTGGGATTTAAATTGTGTTCTTGTTATCAGATTTCTTCTGGATGGGTAAAATCAACTTTGACTAAAAAGATAATTCCAGTTCTTTATTTACCGTGGTGGGACACTTTTGATAATTGTGTAGCTTGCGGCGTAAAATTAAATTTTGTAGCAAATTGTCAAAAATGGTGTTCATATTGCATTGTAATTTATATTGGATGTAGACATTGTTTGACAACAAATGTTATTTTTGGTATTACAAATCAATCACAATGTAAGAAATGCAACAGATTATTAGATATTACTATTGATACTACATATATTAGTAGTGGGAATAAGGAAATTGACGAATTTCTCAATTCTGCAAGGAACAGGATTCATGTCATTAATGATCAGATTGCTAACTATATGAATGATATTAAGAACACTACTGATCCATTAGATGTATATTATTTTATTAAAAATAGTCTTGAAGATATTAATTCAAAATTATTAATGAAATGGATTCCATATTCTCAAATTACAGATTTAGAAGAAATAGCAATAGGAGGTTTTGGTATAATTTATAAAGCAAATTGGTTAGATAAAACTTCTGTTGCTATAAAAAAATTTTTATATTCAAATGATAATAAATATTTTTTTAATGAGGTAACCAATTTTATTATTTTGGTGTTATGCATTTAAATACTTATTAACTGATGATTTGTGATTGTATTTTAGTTAAAATCTCTTTACCAATGTTACAATATGGCATTTATTATTAAATGTTATGGCATTACACAGGATACTGTAACAAAAGATTATATGTTAGTAATGGAATATGCAAATGGTGGAAATTTACATGATTATTTGCAAAAAAATTTTGCAAATATCACATGGAATACAAAATTATACATTCTGTGGAAAATCTCGGAAGGGTATTTATCTTTAAATAATTATACTTAATAAATATAATAATTTTTATTTTAATATATTTGTTTATTTTAATTTTAGACTTAATTCCATTCATAATAAAAATTTTATACATGGAGATTTTCATAGCAGAAATATATTATCATCACCATATCAATCATGGTTAATTTCTGATTTAGGGTTATCACAACATGTAGAAAAAGATGATGATACTACAATTAATGAGGTATATGGAATAATACCTTATATAGCACCAGAAATATTTAAAGGTGCTAGATTTTCAAAAGCTTCTGATGTATACAGTATGGGCATGATTATGTGGGAACTTACAACAGGTTGTAGACCTTTTACCAATGTTAAACATGATCATGAACTTATTTATAATATTATTGATGGAAAACGGCCTGAAATTACAAATGATACTCCTGAATGCTATTGTGATTTAATGAATAGATGTTGGGATTCCAACCCTTCAAAAAGACCTTCTATAACTGTGATTACAGAAACTGCTTATAATTGGTATGTTAAAAATAAATATTCAAAACAAATTCAACAAGCTGAAGAAATAAGAATAGAGTTAATAAAATCAAAAAAGCTTGGCCCTGAATTTGTTAAATCTCATTCCAAAACAACCATTACAAGTAAATCTTTGGATTCTTTTATTTCAAAACCTTCAAATTTATCTTCAATTTCATTCAATATAAAACATGGTATGTTTAATATATTAATATTATTAATATAAATAATAAAATATTAATTAACAACTAACTAAAATATTTTCATTAAATTTTAGAATACATATCATCAGAATTTGAATTAGATATTAATATTCAAAGGTAGTTAATTATATATAAATTAAACTTTTACAATACTATAAAAAATCTTATACTAATAATCTTATTTTTTTTAATAATATTACAGTTTATCATTACAAAATAAGAATTCTAATATTTTAAGTAAATCAATTCCAATTTTAAATTCTTCAAAAAGGAATAAAGGTTTTTTTCAATATTAATACTAATAATCTTTTATTGAAATCAATTGTGCTATTTATTAATTATATTTCTTTTTTTATAATTAAAATTCCTTAATACCCTTCTACAAGAAACAACAAACACTTTTGATTGTGATATTGATATTTCTCATCAAGGTTATTATACAATTATTTATTTAAATTTATGTTAATCATTTATTACTATATTTAATTCAAAAAATTATAATACAATTAAGTACAAAAATTTAAATTTAAGTTATTAATATATAATTAAATTATTTTAATTCTTTTTTTTCATTAGAATCATCTGAATTTTTTGGTAAAGATGTAACGCAAAAGTTATCTAGTATAACAACTGTATGTGAAAGTCCAAAGCAAATGCCATTTTCATTTTCAAGTTTTTCAAGTGAAGATACAACTTTTATATGTGAAAGTCCAAAGCAAATGTTATTTTCAGCATTTTCAAGTAAAGATACAGCTATTATTTGTGAAAGTCCAAAACAAATGTCTTTAAGTGAAAATCCAAGACAAATGTCTTATTCAAATAAAAATACAACACTTACATATGAAAGTCCAAGAAAAATGTCATGGAGTAAAAGTACATCACGAAAATCATCTATAGAAAGTAATACAAAACGATGCTCTTGGAATGATGAAGCAGATATATATTTATTATTATATTTAGAACAAAACAAAGATAAAATTGAAAAATTAAATAATCCTCATAGTGGTGTAAAAGTAGAACTTTGGTCTAGTGCCTCTAAATGGATGTTTGACTATGGTTATAATTATTCACCAAATCAGTGTTTTAATAGATGGAAGAATACTAAGCGAAATTATAAAGTAAGTTATTTTATTTATTTTTTTTAAAAAAAGTAATATAAAATTAAAATTAAAATTAAATCTAATTAATTTTTGATAATACAATAATTTAGAATGGTATTTTAAATGAAGAAAAAGATTCAGTTAAGTATAAATCAATAGAAAGAATTCTTAATCATATATAATATATTTTTAAATAAAAAATTATCTGAAAAAATAAGACAATAAAAAGAATATTAAATATCATTAATAAAATAAATAAAAATACAAAAAAAAAAGAAAAGTAAAATATAATTTGTTGATTTCACAATATGTTTAATAGATATATTTTAATTTAACAAAAAAGTTATTTTATTATTTACATTTAATTATTAAAAAAAAATTTAGTATTTTAATTTAATTTTTTAATAAAATATTACATTATGTAAAAGGAATATATTTATAAGAAAATAAGAAAATAGTAATTTATCTCTATAGTAAAATATCGCTAGTTTGATATATTATATGACTTTTATATAGCTAATTAAACTTTCAATAAACTAGTATTAAAATGCTATTGTAATTAGGATATGAATTAAAGTATGGAATTAAGATATAAAATTAGGAATTAAAATATGGAATTAAGATATAGAATTAAGATATGGATTAAGATATGGAATTAAGGTATAGAATTAAGGTATGGAATTAGGGTATAGGATTAGAATATAGGATTAGACCTTAAGGTATGGATTAGAGTACAGATCTAGTAGTTGTTAAAGTTTACTTTTTTTCAGATAAGTTAAATTTACCTAATAAAGATAAACAAATTTCCTTACATTCTGAAAAGAAATTTCATTTATTAGAAGTGCATATGGGCTGATTTGTCTACTCTGCATTAAAAAGAGTTATTGAATTGATTTGCACAATTTTCGTTACTCAAAATTGTTTTGTAATACCAAAAAATCATCTCACATCGGCTTATAGTCAGAATTAGGCCAAAATTAAGCCCCAAATTACTATTAAAATTGCATGTGACTATCATAAATGTTACACAGCAACTATATATCAATTATTTGACTCACGTGCTGAAACCCCCAAAAAAAAATTTTCTAATATTAACTTTCGCGTTGTTACCCCTAGTCACGTGTAGAGTTACAACTTACTGCGCCAGAAGATCATGTGGAAAATTAGGATCTACTGTGCCCAACTGTGCCAAGCCGACCTAGCTGCAGCCTACTTAGCCT